GCGGCTAATTGATCGGGTACGACCTAATCGCTTTTTATTCGATATGCGTGACCCTGGTTTCAAAGACACGCAGTTAAAAATTAATCACCTTTGAAAGAGCTCTGTGTCTTGGTCCCTCAGCCTGGGAACAACGTTTGCCGGATTCCCGTCGTTATCTCTGTGGCAAGAGATTTGGCGCACCCAGAAGACTATTCTGGGCGTTAAGTCGTCCTTACATATATGCACTAATTGCGTATGTAAAAGCATCTGTCGCGTTTCTATATCAGCGTCCCACATGCCCGCCATGGTACAGTTAATGCACAGCCAACCACGGGAACCAGAACCGCAGTGCACGCGCTAATCTGTAGCAATAACCGCCGTACAAGCAGCGCTAACAAGGCTCTACTCAAGCGCTAACAAGTCTCTACTGAAGCACTAACAAAGGCGCTACTAAAGCGCTAACGAGATGCTACTAAAGCACTAATCGAGCGCTATATTATAACTAAGTCACGCGCTAGGAAGCGCCATATGAGAGCTCTTTGAAACGCTTACGTAGCGCTAACTCGCTCCGCTCTATATGTGAAACGGCCTTTACAGAGCACTGGTGTTTACCCTAACATTCATAACAGCGCTGAGCCAGTGTGGTCTAAGGTAGCTATTCGAAACGGTGCAGTTTTGACGGTTGGCTCATTTCACATACCACCGGGTTCTAGTATTCAGACGCTACTGGAAGTATCAGGCACGGTGCTATCTCTTTGCCCTGAATTCTTGATAATAGGCGGAAACTTTATCTTTCCTGATGTGAAATGGCAATGTAGTCTTCTTCGAACAGCTGACACTTTTTCCCTCTATTCTTCAGTACATTTTGCATTTTACAAAATTTTGTGTAGTGCACATTTTGCATTTTGTGTAGTGCATTTTACTTCAAGTTGCAGTCTTTACTAAACAGTATTATCACCAAAGATAACTGGTGCTCACCGTTGCAGTAAGTGAGATCTAGTTTTGATAAATGCAAATCAAAATGCTTTCATGTCTTCTGTGTCGGTTTTACAGGGAATCAACGACCATGACGTCGTTATTGGTTATCTAAGGTGCCCTCACGCAAAAACGTCCGAATGTGTCCTATGAGGGTTTACTTCTATAACCAGGGTGACTATATTCTAGCTTGAGGGGAGAGCTTTTTTCCTTTCTTTAAAGATCCAGTCACACTTGCGACAGTCGCTGGAGCGACCAGCAACTAGGGACTGGTTTTTGGTCGCTAGCTACGAGTTTTGGGCATTCGCTCCCTGACCGAGTTATCAAGTCGCAAAAGCGAGTCGCTGGACGGCGGAGTCAATTACACTCTCATCGGAAGTGATGCGTGCGTTTGTTTGCATCCGGCACTACTTTCCGCGGAATTAGCGACGCCCGCACGGCGGCGGTGACTGACAAGGAGTTCTCCGCTGAAGCTCTCATTAATGCTATCGAAGACGATCCGTTCTTTTTCACAATAAGCGGAACGCCGACCACGAGGATCGGGACAAAAAGCTCCAAGCCTGGAACAAGATCGGCGACATTTTCGGCATGGCAGATACGTAGAGGATCACGGTTGAGAAAGCGCACACATGGCCGTCGTTTTACGTTCCGAAGAACCATTAAGTTTTTCGTTTTTTCCTGCCGGCGCCTGTAATTATAATAATAATAATAAAAAAAAACTTTTTAGCCCGCTTGGGATGGTGTTGAGAAGCGAGAAGCGAGCCTGGCGACTCGTCCGTCGCTCAATCAGGTGTCGACACTGGTGGTCGCCAGTCGCTTGTCGCTAGTCGCTCCAGCGACTGTCCCAAGTCGCAAGTGTGAACGGGCCGTAAATATTTGAAGAACTAAGCTCGTCTTTAGGTAATCGTCGATCTTTGAAATATGTTTTTCTAAAAAAACAAGGAATTCAATTGATCCTTACGTACCATCAAAAATACTGAGGTTAAGACAGAGTAAATATAAGTCGTGGATGAATGGCGAGCTGAGGGCCATCATAAGAAAGGCATGCTAATTTATGATGTCATTAAAAGCAAACCCCCGATCAATTAAGGCAACTTAAACAGTTAAGTAGTACCGACAGACACCAGTTAAAAACGTCGAAAAAAAGCTTCGATAATTTTCAGGAACATCGTCTAAAACCACCCGCAAACTGTATGTAATGATTTGTATCAGGGGTAACACAAAGGAAGAAGCTGTCATACCGCCAATTCATAGTAATGGAACATTGGTATCTATGACACTGAAAAAGCAGTGCGGATCAACAACTGCTTCCAATAAATGTTCGTCTCACCAATGCCAATTGGGCCACATCAGTTTCTGGCCGAGCCGATATTTCCAATGGTGAATTGTAAAATAAATGCTGACGGAATCGGAAGCCTCATTCTTAACCTGAATCCAGAAAAGGCCACTGGCCCTGACGGAATTATTAATCGCGTCTTGAAGGAATGCGCCAACGTTGCTTCTTATTTTCTATTTATTTCGTTCACAATGTCCTTGTCATCTTCAAAGCTGCCGGCAGAATGGAAGGTAGCCAGTCTTGGTGCTTGTGCATAAAAGCGGCTCAAAGATAAAGTATATAACTACCGACCTACGTGCCTTTATTATGCATGCTATAACAGTTCGAGCTCATAGAACGCAGCCTTTAGTCGATCTTCTGTACGCGATAAAATATTGTTCTCCCTTTTACCATGGTTTTAAAAGCGGCTTTTCGGGCAGAGCACAATTATTAAAAAAAATAATGATCTGGCGTCCTCGTACAATAAAGATTCTCAAATAGATTGAGCTTTTCTTCATTTTAGGAAAACATTCGAATCGGTTCACTCGAATTATACGTACTTAAAGTGTTCTCATTCAATATCTCAGGTTATGTATTATTATTCTTAAAATACTACTTTACTGAGCGAAAACAGTACCTGCTGTATCGCCGTACGGCTGCGTCACCACAACCAGGAGCGGCGCGTTCCAGCGCATGCCCGTGCCGGACATACGTCACCGGCGCGGGAGGTAAAAAGAAAGCGCTTGCCAATAAACGACGTTTTCATGTCCCGGCCACCGGCGAGTCTGGTTGACGTTTCAGTGGCGACGAGGGTAAACCGATATGGCGGCACGCCCGCCGCAGTTCGACGAGACGGCAGGCACCTGGGGCACATACCGGGTCCGGTTGGAGGCGTACTTCGAGGGTCACGGGATCACGGACGCGGCGAAACGTCGCGCGTTGCTGGTGTCTTCCCTAAGTGACAACGTGGTCCGAATTCTGCAAGGCCGCTGTCAATCGGCGTCCATCAACAGCCTGTCCTACGCAGACGTGGTTGGCTACCTAGAAGAACACTACGACCCGCAAGCCAACGAGATTGCAGCTAGCTACTCGTTCTTCGTGCGGAAACAGGAAGAGGGGGAGAAAGTACAAGACTTCGTGGCAGAGTTGCGGCGGCTCGCGAAGCATTGCAAGTTCGGCGACACCCTGGACCGGATGCTGCGAGACCGAATCGTCTGCGGCATACGGGATGACGAAGCGCGACGGGTTTTGCTGACGCGTAAAAAGTTGAGCCGGGAAGAGGCGGAGGAATTCGTAATCGCGTCTGAGATGGCCGATAACAACGTCAGGGCAATGGGAACGGCCCCCCAGGACTCAGCCGGCGGTACGCATTTCGTCCAAGGTCGGCGGAGGCCCCCAAGACAAGAAAACTGGAGGCCCCCAAGACAAGAAACCAGCGGTGCGAATCGACGCGCCTGGTGCTGGAGGTGCGACGCGAACCACTCCGAGGACGACTGCCGGCACCACAAGACCATATGCCACAGGTGCGGCACCAAGGGACATCTGGCGAGGGTGTGCAAGTACAGTCGGCCCAGCCAGCCAGGTGCGTACGCGCTGGCGGACATCAACACCGAGGAAGAGAGTGGCGAGGAAATGCTTCACGCCCTGGTGGCTCACAGTACAGCCAACAAAGACACGACGCCGCCGATAGAGTGGGATTTGCTATGGGAAGGCAGGAAGCTGCGAATGATTCTGGATACGGGCTCCCCAGTCAGCGTAATTCCCGAGAGCGCTTTCAAAAGACACCGTAAACGGTGGCCGGCCCTGGAAACGACCCCCCTACGCTTGTCGTGCTTCCTGGGGCCGCTGCCCGTTGTCGGCAAGATCACCATGAGTGTACAGTACGGACAGACGCAGGTGCGCAGCTCGTGGATTGTGGTGAACTGCCCAGGGCCGCTGCTTTGCGGTAGGAATACGCTGCGGGCGTTTTACGACGCAGGGGCACCGCTTCTAGAAACTGGGGCACCGCTTGGGGTGAACATGGTGCAGGCCGGCGCAGAGGGGCAGGACCTACTGGAAGAATTTGCAGACGTTTTTGAAGAGAAGCTGGGGTGCTGCCAGGGCCCACCAGTAAAGCTGTACAGGAAGGAAGATGCGCGACCCCGTTTTTGTAAGGCGAGGCCGGTGCCCTACGCGCTTCGCGACAAGGTGTCGGCGGAAATCAACCGCCTGGAGAAGGACGGCGTGCTCTCGCCGGTCAGCGTGTCGAATGGGCTACACATGTTGTTCCGGTGGCAAAGAAAAACGGCGAGATACGACTGTGCGGGGATTTTAAGTTGACGGTAAATCCAGCTACACACCTGGAGCGATACCCCTTGCCCAAAATTGACGACATTTTTGCGGCGTTATATGGGGGGGAACTCTTCACCACGCTGGACTTACGCAACGCGTACAATCAGCTTCCTCTTGACGAAGAGGCTCGAAAGATGACTGTGCTGAACACGCACCAAGGATTGTACTGTTACAATCGTCTGGCCTTCGGCATTGCGTCCGCACCGGCTCTGTTTCAACGGCGCATTGAGTCCCTCCTGCAAGGGCTCCCAAGGGTGCAAGTCTACTTGGATGACATCGTCATCGCAGAAAAGAAACACGACACGTCGACACTCCGGCAGGTGCTGCAGCGGCTACGGGAAAACGGCCTGAAGTTAAACCGAGCCAAGTGCCGTATCCGGGAGAAGCAAGTGTTCTTTTTGGGCCACAGAATCGATGCCCAAGGTCTTCATCCGGAGCGGACCAACCTCGAGGCAGTGACCGAAGCTCCAAGACCGACCTCGGTAAGCCAGCTCAAGTCTTTTCTGGGGTTTGTCACCTATTACGCCAAATTTTTGCCCAACTTGTCAACCACCTTGGCCCCTTTGTATAGATTATTGGCAAAAGGAGCGCAATGGCAGTGGGACGGGGATCAGGAAAGGGCTTTCCGGAAGACTAAGCAGGCTATGGCCGAAGCTAAGTTCCTGGTTCACTACAACCCCCGGCAACAGTTACGGATAGAATGCGACGCGTCGCCAGACGGCTTGGGTGCAGTGTTGTCACATCGCATGCATGGGAAAGACTACCCCATAGCGTTCCGGTCGAGAACGCTGACGAAGGCAGAGCGTAATTATTCACAGCTCGAGAAGGAGGCGTTGGCGCTGGTTTTTGGAGTTACCAAGTTTCGAGATTACCTGTTCGGCAACCGCTTTACGCTCGTCACAGACCACAAGCCGCTGACAGCGCTGTTCCACCCTGAAAGAGCAATTCCACAAATGGCGGCGGCTAGAGTACAGCGTTGGGCGTTACTACTCGCAGCCTACCAGTACGATCTCGAGTACCGAAAAGGAGACCACAATGGGAATGCAGACGCTCTTAGTCGTCTCCCGTTGCCGGCGCAGGAGGAGGGCAGCAGTGAAGTGCTCTCTGAATATGTGCTGTACACGCGGGGGTGGGACGACCAACCTATGTCCGCCCAGCAGATGGCCACCATGACTACGCGGGACAGCCTGCTTCGCCAAGTAAAAGCCTGGATTTACGCCGGATGGCCGTCGCACCTGCGCCCGGAGCAGCACCAGTTCCTACCGTACTTCAGCCGCAGGTATGAACTCACAGTGAGCCACGACCTGGTTTACTGGGGGCATCGCGTAGTTCTACCGGAAGCTGCGCGAGCGTTCATGCTGACGGAACTGCATGATACCCACCCGGGAATGACTGCGATGAAGCGTCTGGCTCGCTCCCTCTATTGGTATCCTGGTCTAGACAAAGATATCGAAAAGCTGGTAAATAACTGCTCGACATGTATACAGTGTTGGACGATGCCCGCGGCACAGGTTCCTTCCAAGTGGCCGGAGACCCACCAACGGTGGTCCCGTTTGCACTTGAACTTCGCGGGGCCACTGGAAGGGTACATGGTTCTAGTACTAGTGGACTCGGAAACAAAGTGGATTGAAGCCATACCACTCAAAACAGCTTCGGCCGAGACTACCATTGGAGTGCTCCGAGAACTGTTTGCGCGTTTCGGAGTGCCACGAACAGTGGTTTCCGATAATGGGCCGCAATTTTCAAGTGCAGCGATGGCACGATTTTTACAAGGGAACCATATACGTCATTTCACCACTGCGCCCTACCACCCTCAGTCGAACGGGTTAGCCGAACGGGCAGTACGCACGATCAAGGAGGGGCTAAAGAAGAACAGGGAAGGCTCGTTGCAAGATCGTATTTCCAGGTTCTTGTGTCGTTACAGATCTACCCCTATGAAAGAGGGCAAGTCGCCAGCCGAGTTGTTGTTAGGCTTCAGGCCCAGGACAAGGCTAACCGGCTTCTTCCCGAGGGGCGAGGAAGCGCAGCACAGCGTGGTCAAGCCGCAAGCCCCGGCCACGACACCACCGCCATTTTCGCCAGGAATGCCGGTCTGGGCACGCCAGTTCCAGCCGAGGCGGAGATGGCTACCGGGGACTGTGGTCTCCAGTGAGGGTCGGCGCATGGTCACGCTACGCACACCGGACGGCCAACAGAGACGGCACCTGGACCAGCTGCGACCTCGAGACGCTTCAGGGTCCCCGGAAGGCGCTGACAAGGCACGTCGAGTCGCCGGCCGGTCGGAGGTGGGAGCAAGCCCGCCCAGCACCGACGAAAGAGAGGTCGCCACCAACGGCGATCCCGAGGTGACGCCCACAGCAGACCCGGTTCCTCTCAGGCGCTCTACGCGCCTGCGGAAGCCGCCGGACCGTTTGAACTTATAGGGGGGAGGGGATGCTGTATCGCCATACGGCTGCGTCACCACAACCAGGAGCGGCGCGTTCCAGCGCATGCCCGTGCCGGACATACGTCACCGGCGCGGGAGGTAAAAAGAAAGCGCTTGCCAATAAACGACGTTTTCATGTCCCGGCCACCGGCGAGTCTGGTTGACGTTTCAGTACCTAGTGTAAAAAGATAAATGAAAGGGCATATATTGAACAAAACGGTGTTTATGAAGACGATTCCGTTGTTTATCGATCTGTTCGTGATTCCAACGATAGTGCTGTTTTAAACGGGACAGAGGCTGCATTTAAGGGTGGTGTCAAGGATGTCAGATGAGGCTAAACATAAACAAAATGCGTCTTACAAAAACCAACAAAAAAACGCTTTTTTGTTTGTACAGCTTGAATGGAACTGCAATTCCTGATATTCCAGAGCAGAAGTATGTTGGGGTATATTTTACAGAATATTTATCTTGGAATATTTATCACGTTAATAAAATTACAACTGAAGAAACCTGTATGTTTTATTTTTTTTGGACGCAACTTTCGAAACTGCCCACCAAAAGTTAAGGAGGCATTATATATAACAAATATACGGGCCATTATAGAATTTCCTTGTCCACTGTAGAATCCCCAAACACAATATCTTTGTGTCAAACTCAAGCAGGGTAGATTATCAAAATAAGGTTCCCGAATATTGATCCCGTACTGGCACTTCCAAATAATATTTTCTCCTCTTACCACTTACCAATAGAACTGTTTACCCGAGTCGTATGTCACGATTTCATAAAACACTGTGTTTTCTTTCTCCGAGTTATTGAAGAGTGCTTGAACATAGTAATCCCGATTTTGTAAATTATGGTAATCTGTGTACAATTATTGTTGTTTATGATTGTTATGTTTTTGTTATGATTTATGTTATGATTAAACAATATATTTATTTAATATTGTCTTTTTTTCTCACTTTATCCCCCCCCCCTTCCTTTTTGTAATGCCTTTGGGCGCTGATAGGTATATTGAATAAATAAATAAATAAGATTCAAGCTTTATTTTTCTGTGATATAGGCAAAATAATATATTTTATTTGCAGTTCATGATAGATCACGATATTACTTTAGTCACTGAAGTACAGGTATTTAATACTTTTTAATTTGTACAAAGAATAGGATTCTATGAAATAAAAAGAGGTGCATTTGAGCTTCTCGGTCATATCAAGGTAATTCGAATAACTTTAATAGATTACACGTAGTAACTTGCAAAACTGTTTTCGTTATTCTTGTCCTGCTCGCTTGCACCTTTGCATTTAATTGCATTATAATTATAACCCTAAAATGCAAGCCGTTCAGCCTTGTTTGTGTTGGACTGGTGGCAACTGATAAAACCCGTTTTCTCTACTGACGTCTCCTGGTTAGCTCAGATGGTAGAGCGATCCACTGGAAATTGAAAGGTCCCCAGTTCAATACCAGGACCTTGGCGGACTTGTCTGGTCGCGCACCAGTCACCTAGCTGTGTTTGGAGATTTGTGTTTGTCCTTTGTTCCCCTTGTTCTCCTTCTCCAGGAATTTTTTTTTTCATTCCTGTCCAGCTCAGGTGCACCTTTGCATTTAATTGCATTATAATCATAATCTTAAAATGCAAGCCGTTCACTCTTGTTGGTGTTAGATTGGGGGCACCTGATGAAACCCGTTTCGTCCACTGACGTCTAACTCCTTGTCAGCTCAGTTGGTAGAGCGCTCCACTGAAAATTGAGAGATCCCTGGCTCAATACCAGGCCCAGGGCGATTTTTTTTTGTCGCTCACAAGTCACCTAGGTGTGCTTGGAGATTTGTGGTTGTCCTTTGTCCCCCTTGATCCCCTTCTCCAGGGATTATTTTCGTCAAGCCCTCCCAGCTCGGCATACTCCGTTAGATGAGCTGGCTGGGCCAAAGCGCACATGAAGGCAACCTAGGCTGGGCTAGCTCTTTTGCTTAGCGGCCGAGCAAACTGGGCAGCGTCGGCACCGCGTGGCGCGGGCGAGAGCAGGCGGTGAACGTGCAGAGTGCACATGGGACTAGCCGCACCATCGGTGCCACGAGTCATAGTACAGTTTCTCGGACACAAGGATCGGCGTCGCCATCTACAGTTCAACGTTTATGCTCCTTTAAAGGGGCAGTGCAACGATATTCAATTGGAATGTTTTTCACTTTACACGAGCTTAGTGGCACTAATGGGGCTCAGGGATGCTCGCACGCAACGCCACTGGCAAAGAAACTCCTTTGTTGCGGTGAAATTTCAAGGACAAAAGCGAACGTTTCCATTCAAGCTCTCCTTCGCAAAACTTGATGACGTAGCTGGGCGGTCACAGTACCGCCCAGTGACGATATCTGAATGGGGCTCATAGATTGAACCCGAACACTGCGTGAACGCTCGATTTGGGCTCGTGATAATCAATAGCTCGAGAAGCATTCGGGTAGGGGCCCGCGTCCAATCGCTGCAACGACGACGATAGCCAACCTATAGCAATTTCTGGAACTCAGCGCGTGTCCTCTGCCTTGCCGACCCCATCGCGTGGGTACAGTGTTCTAGCGTGGGTATACCATCAACATTGGCGGTATATAATCGGCTACAGATCACGTGGCCTCTTGTTCTGGCTGCGAGTTGAGTCCCTAAATAAGCTACGCTTTGAAAGCACCGCATTCTTTTTCTTTGGCACTTTGCCGACAATGCAGTAGCTCTATTCAACATTATTCTGGTTCGCTGCCGCATCATTGGACAGCGGCAGTCATGCGAGTCGCTATCATCATCATCGCGTTTTTTCAACACCACCATCTTGGGTCCAGCGATCCGCTGCTTGCAGCTGTTTTACTGTTTACTGGGCGCGTACACTAAAGTCCGTCGCTCAGCACGCACTTTTTCCTTCTTACGTCGAGGTACGAACACGACCTTGATTCGCTGCCACAGCTGCGGCTACGGTAGCTGGCGCAGGCGACGGCTACAGCTCGGCTTGGCTTTGCTACAGGCGCTCCTCCATCTGCGCGTGGACCCAAGATGGCGGCGCCTGACGCGCTTCAGGGGCGTAGTTTGGGAGTTTCGGTGCTCTAAAAGTGTAGCTTTATTTAGTGACTCTAGCTGTGAGTAGAGGGGGTGAACACTGCTTGTTTTCTTTAGTTGTTTCTGTGACTTCGATTTCGTGTGGTTAAAAACGAACGGGTGTTGCACAGGTCATTAACGTCAGGAATCCATCCTAGGAGATATTTGCTCAAAGTACAAAAATCGTTGCATCGCTCCTTTAAGATGACCGCTGTGGGACCTCAACCTTAGTGATCAATGCGGCAAAGAAAATTTTCGACCGCACGTCCGTCTGGATCAAAAGTGGTAGCAGCACAGGTAGAACCTTGACTCCCTGTGTTCGGTAATAAGAAGTTTCGACCGGGTCGCTAAACTTGTCAAACACAAAGTTGGGGCCGAAGTTCGCTGAGCGTGCTGACTGGACACTCGCGGCGATGGCATCACGCGGGACGAGATGTCAATTATTCAAGCTGTCTCGGTGCTCATATTCTAGCGCGATTGAAAAAAAAAAAAAAAAAGTCACAGCGAGCTTTATCGGAGCGCGCGCGAGCAACATCTTTGGGCCAGCCGATTTAAACGGCTACACGTCGTGCCCTCGTGCCCTACACCCATACGCTGCGTTACCCTCAACGCTTCCTAAATAGCCCCTAGGCTAGCTATGAATACTCTGAACTTTCTTGTCACAAGTTCGTCGTATATGAAAGTTTTTGGTGACGACAAAGTAACGTTTCAAAAAATTGGAAAGGGGTTATTTAAGGCCGAAATTTTCTCTGTGCATCGAGGCGAATATTGAACTTCGTAATATTGTGAAGCTGTGAGCGGCGTTCACGGCTTCAGACTTCATCTTCCGACACTGTGATCAAAGCTGCCGGGATCACCCAGAGGCGTTGTGCGTGGTAACGTCGGTAGTGTTTGAGAGATGTGGGGGCGGCGGGGGCTGGGGCAATCGACTCCCTCCGTTACCCATTTATGCCCTCGGTCCCCTCTTTTGACGCCAATTGGGGGGGGGGGGGAGGGGGGGAGGGGGATGAATTGCTTCCCTCCCCGTCCTCCTATTTGAATGCCCCTGCTTAGAAGTGTCCCAACTGAGAGATGGCGAGGAACAGCTCAGCGTGCCATTTTCAAAATTGTAGCTTTGTTCGACTTAACTGCACCTCTCATACCGGTGCAGAAAAGTGTAGGGCACTGTACTTCCGGTGGGTGTATTGAGATACGACCAGAAGTGCACCGCCCTGCACTTTTCCGCACCGGTACAAGAGGTGCACGTAAATTGAACGAAGCTTCTGCTTCTCGAGGTTCTGACTGTTCGCGTTTCATGAACCTACGACCGGCCATGGCCGACTTTCAAGCGAGAGGCTTCTGTTAGGGCTTGTAGTATGCAGGCGCGTTCAGTGACGTCCTTTTATAGCTAACAATCCTGACCCTTGACGTCACGGCCAGGATTATCAGTTGTGAACGAGATATTTAATGGTGCGTGTTCCAATTGATGGTACAGGTTTGATTGTGTACAATAGAAGCTTGGAGTCATCGCGTTCTTAAAACACCGTCGTTAGTATTAATAACCTTACCTAACTCTTATTGTCGTTCATGAAAGCAGAATTAATTCCACTTTAGCTAATCTTGGCAACTCGACCACACTGACGCTTTTGCTAACCTATGTGACCACTTGTATACTTAATATAAAACAGTAAAAGGATTTTATCCCGCCGATCGGGGGACAATTGCGCGGAGGCAAAATCCGCCCGAAAACGGACAACGCTACTAGGTTTGTTCTGACCTAGCCATGTCGGACTAAACGTTTATTATATTAAAATGCTGACAGCAATGAAAAGAACACTATCGACGTTTTTCAGTAAATCCTTCTTTATCAGCGGAAATGAGAACGATGCCAGACTGTCAATTTCGACTGTTTTGATTTTAAAATGCAATTAGCCGAAGCCTCGGCCAACGTTATTGAAGCAAACTCAGTTCCACAACTCCGCCCGCGACGAGGCCTCAGGGGCGGTCACGAGAACTAGCAGCGCTGCAGTCGAGTCTTACTTCCCGATTGTTTAGCCTGCGAAGCTTCAATAGCAATACTTGAGCTTCGGCGAGTTGGCAATTCATACTAAAGGGAGGTTCAGACATTTGCGTCTGAGTTCGTTTGACTGCGTTGCGTCGAAAACCGAAAGCGAGTCACCGGCATATCTGCGCTTCTTATGAAGCGTTAAATCCAATTTAATGAATCATCTTCGCACGCGATATAAGTAGCAGGGATGTCCAGGGGGGGGCTATGTTGCGCTTTTTGGACTCCCAGGAGACTAGGGAGAGGGAAGTGACGTCAACGACACAGCAAGCGCAGATTGGGTGTTGATTTCGTTTTCTTCTGTCAACATCCAATCTGCGTTTGCTCTAGTCGTTGACGTCACTTCCCTCTTCCAAGTCTCCTGGGTGTCCAAAAAGCGCAACATAGCACCCCTGGGGGGCTATGTTGCGCTTTTTGCACTCCCAGGAGACTAGGGAGAGGGAAGTGACGTCAACAACGCAGCAAATGCAGATTGGATGTTGATTTTGTTTTCTTCTGTCAGCATCCAATCTGCATTTGCTCTAGTCGTTGACGTCACTTCCCTCTTCCAAGTCTCCTGGGAGTGCAAAAAGCGCAACATAGCCCCCCTGGTTTCTCGCAGCCGCAACGCAGTCAAACTCAGTCAATCGCAACTGTCTGAATCAGGCTTAACACTTTACAGCGCAAGGAAACAGACGCACGTAAAAATAAATTTGAAACACTCAAAGGAAGAACACTCACAATGCGCTGACTCTCATCTCTGTGGTGCATTACACTTCATCTTCCTCATCTTTTTTTTTTCTGCTGTTACACAGATGGAAGTAAAAAGAAGGAAGAAAGGAAAAGAAAGAGAAGCTCTCAACGCGGTGGTAGTAGACGACGCGCGAGACAGGGAAGCGAGATCCCACTGCAGCGCCGCTAGTTCTCGTGACCGCCACCTGCGCCATTCGCCTCTGCAGGCGAGAATAGGGAGCTGCGAAACAGCTCACTCCAGTAACGTTGGCCTCCGCCGTGATTTTTAAAGACGATCAGAGATGATGGTCGCAGTTGATAATTTTGTCGCGACATCACACGTATGGACCACGGTCGTCTCCGCGCTCTCTCGTGCTGCCCTTGTTCGGCACCGACGGAAAGGTCTGGATTTTTTGCCCCTTCAATGAAAAACGTCACGAAGATAAACGGATCTGCGGATTCGTGAGAAAAGAAAACTTCGCGGCAATCTTTCGGCGCCCCCTCCCCTCCCCCCCTCCCCCTATGTCATAACACAAAGAATATTTGTGTTTGACGTGTTTAGCTTAGCGACCCTATTCCGAGCTTTGGTGCTATAATATACGCGGCCTTTAATTTCTGTCGTTCATGTACGCTAGGCACACGAATTATGTTTCGATTAAAAGGAATGCATAATTTGCAAAAAAAAAGCGCCATCAATTGCCAAATTTCCGCCATATGGAAGGTTCCGGTACCGATAGTTTCGCCCAAGAGACAATTGTCCCGGCAAAGTGGGACTCGTAGAACTAAAATATTATCACCTGCTGAAAGTCCGGTACGAACCCTTCACACAGCGTCTTCGATAAAGACTGTCCCCTGACCTGGGTGACCCAGTTCACTGCTTGAGTGACGAATCTTGCGACCTCGCCGCTTACACTTCCTTTCCAGAATTTCGCGGCCCTCTTTCTTTACTTCTTCAGACCGGCACTAAAATGCAACCTCTTCACTGCAGAGAAAATTGTTATAATATCATGAAATCCAAGGGTGCGAACAACTTTCTCTCCCTCCACGTATACATCGTCACACTCTGATGACGCCGAGTGGGAAATGGACCTCTTGCAAAATCGAAGCGATCCTAGTGGCACAGTATCGCGCGAAGCATCTAGCGATACCATTGGCAGCAGTTTTAGTTTCGATTTTCCAGTCTCACTTCACGACATCCAGTCATGACCAAATACAGCGCTTCAAGTTTCGGATATGTTACTTTCCCTAATTTTATAAGACTGTTGGTGTTGCCTACGAATACCAATAGAATGTTGGGACACGTTTGTAGGGCACCCAATCTGCCAGAGTTGGCGCGCAAGGTAAATACAGAACTATGATAGCATATGGAAGAAGTATGGTGGACCGATCATCCTGTTCCACTGACTCCTCAATGCCCTAAGCTTCTTAAATGATACGTGAGCAGGGATTATCGTGCTCCACTCTCCAGTAGTAGCCAGGGCGCCAGGAAGGTAGGGGATGTGGCCTAGGAAGATCCTAGAGCTAAAGCAACGCTTCAGAGTAACAACACTAACCAGTCTTGGTTCTTCAAATCATGGTCGTCAGTTATCTCAAGCTCTATGTAAAATCAGAGGAAACGCTTCGTACTCCATTATTGTTTATACCATTCGAGGCAGAGATAGACAATATTACGGGCCTTTCCTAACACCCAATCTTTTCCTAACACCGAAACTTATGCTGAGAAAGTCGCACTTTTGAATAATGATGATATGCACATGCGTTTGCTCTGTACTAAGCAGCAAGATGGCGGCGCCCACAACAAAATTGCGGAACAGTGTGCCGATACTCTATACTTCGTTTCAGCTTCGGTCCAGACGCAGCCAAAGCTACAAGCGCGAGCTCCGGGCTTTCAGCATCCCTGCCAAGCACGCGCGCTCGTGCAGTGCAAGCACTGTTCTGGGCCACATGCTCGCGCTTGTAGCATCGGCTGCGTCTGGACCGAAGCTGAAACGAAGTATAAGCGCAGCTCATTTGTGGCCCTAGCAGATCCTTACGGCCGCTTGAGGTCCGTGTTGCAACGGGGGCCCTGATGAAAATCTATGGATGCATTGAAAGCGAGAGCTCACTTTATTTTATGTATTAACGTTGAAATGCTAGTGCACGTATTTTAGTGTGTTCAAAGAAGCTCGTGTAGTAAGCTGAAACATCTGCTTTCTTTCTTTCTCTTTTTTCAGGCAAAGGTTCCCCATGACACTCGTAAGTCATTTTGTCTCATTATATCTTTCAAATATTTTTGGTTGCTTTGATGCCTTAGTAAGGATGAGGCGTGACGGCTCAAGGCTACAAACGCTGTAGACATTCGAAACTATTCGCGGCGTGCGCAACCGAAAAATGTTACGCATATTGGCAATAAAAAAAATGGAATCGTCTATACCCACTTACATGGGCACCCGTAACCACATTTAAGTGTGACTGATTTCATTTCAGACTGCGGTAAAGGGTGACCGGGTAACTAGGGTACAGTTGGCAGTAACTGCTAAATATACTTGAGCGTAACTTCGGTTATAATGCACGCCGGGCACACTTAACCATGGTTGAATCTGACCACAGTCGCACTTAACTCTGGTTAAGGGCGCCCGTGTAACTATGGTATAAAACTGTTGAACTGTTTATATAAAAAAAGAAACAGGAAAGCAACTACAGTTTAGCAAGCAAGCGCTTACAACTGCGGTTCGGTTGAAGATGCATGTGCGAAATGAAAGCTCCCTGAGACTTTTTATGGAAAGTCTTTTAAAGGATGGGTCGTAGGATTATTTTACATAAATAGTAATGAAATACGGTGCAACATAGCCAACAGAGACAGATTGCGATTGTTGCTTATGCTCAAATGCGAGGCGCAATATGTCTTGAAAGCAAGCTTGTTGTGCGAGTAAGTATTTATTGGGGTTTTTATCGACCATTAGAAATGCGAATGTTGGCGGCACTGAAATCCCATATGGCTGAGTTTAAAAAAAAGCATTAAAAACTTTCTGAATAAATTACTAGCGACGAGCGAAGTTATTGGTATTTCTTTTATGTAGGCGGTAAACCAATTGTGTTGCGTGCATGTTTATACAGCCGGAAGTAAATCAGCTCATTGTGTGTGTTGTGTTTCAGCTGTAAGTGGAGAAATTTAGCCAGTGCAGTAAAACCGCTAGACTATGGTCTTTAACGTGCACCACGCAGTTGTGATACACGACTGTACACCGGTAAGATGCTCATCCAGATCGAAACGGGCAGGAATGGGGATTGAACCCAGCATCCCTGGTTTTTCCCGAAGAACACCGCTAACCATCCGCTGCTGTCAGAATTACAAAATTGGTTAAAAAATAACCAAAAATGACATTTGCTGCTGGAAATTTCTGCTCTAAGCGAGAAATGTTCTAGTGAAAACACTCCGTTCCGAGACGTGCCGTCGGACCTCACCAAGAATCAGGCACGACTTGCCAGTTCTGAATCAGTGGAATTACTGACTTTGGAAGATAGTGGCATGTGAGGTAGGTTCGTCGGTTGGACCCTGTGAGGTGGCCGCATTTTCGCTTGCCGCCGTGACGGCGTTTTGTTTTAGGTATTTTGTTTGTATTTCGCTGTAAATGTTGAACCGCGCTTCTCCGCCGTGACCATAGACATATCTATCCCACGGCGGGGCCATGGCCTCGGAGCTTGCTCATGACCCGGGGGTGTCCGGAAACGCGATCCCACTCGAGCCCACGCGAACGCTCGGAGCGAGAAGGTGCTCCCGTCAAACGACTGGCACGTCATTCTACAAACTAGACCGAGCACTGTGCCCCCATCTCGAGCTCAAACAACGTTCTCGTAACCATCAAGTCAAGTTCGGGTGGTTCCAGGTGCTGGCTGAAGTCGCTCTGAGAAAAACTGGGGTTTATGAGTCGGCATGCAATGAGCAACGTCAGAGCCGCCGTCAAGCGTGGCTTTCCTATCCCCGGAACGCCGAAGATGAAAAGGGAGTTTCCATACATCGTTTTTGCCGTCCCGCAACGATCTCCGCAACGTGCTACAATACCCGGAACTCTACGGCCAAAGCCGTCGCGGCGCAGGCGCAGTATTAGGCAGTGTTGCGGAATGGGCACCCCCATTCCATTCCAATTCCATTCCGGGGAATTAGAGTTTTCGATAATTCCATTCCTTTCAATTCCTAGGAATGGAGGCACTGAGCCCATTCCCACTCCTGGAATGGCTGAGTCGCTCCATTCCATTCCTCCAATTCCTAAACGTTAAAAGTGTCACTTGACAGCTGCATTACGTTGCAGGGTTGGGCAGAAATATTCAAAAATGTATTTGGAAATACAAATACTCGGATAGATGAAAATAGTGAAAATAGCTGCTAAGATACTAATACTCAAGTCTCAAATATATCTATAAAAATGTATCGTGATACGTATCGGAAATACATTTTAAAAAGAGGGAAAAAGTCTTTGGAAATACAAATACAAGCATACAATACAATACAATACAATGCAATACAGTTTTCAAATTTCTTTGAGACGCCAACTGAGACGAGGCTTTAAGTTTAAAGTGGAAGTTTCTTTTTTTTTTTCTTGAAGTTACTTTTCCGCAGGCTTGGCACTTCGCCTTGAAGGTAGTGGTTCCGGACGAAGAGTCCTAAATGGGTTTAAAAAACGTTCCATCAAGGATTGACCGCGGTCCCTTCCCTGCCATCCTGTCTGACTGACAAGTGATGCGAAAAGACTTCGAACTCTAAAATAAATTCCATCAAAACGCGCCCGTGTCAGCACTGATCGCATGACGTCACGGTGGGATGAACTAGTATTCTTGAATCTGTAGGTGTTGCCTTGAACATGAAACTTTACCCACGCTGCTGTATGAAAGGACAATACATACTTTCGTTGTAGCTGACCTCGTTGAAGACCATGCAGGCAGTTGCATTTGGAATTTTCGAGGAAAGTGGACCACCTGAAGCATCCTAAAGCACATGTATTATCTTCTGTTACGGTTGAAAAATCGACACGGTGGCATCCCTGTTGTGACGGTCCTTCCTGCCGACTCTCCGCCTCCAACGCATGAATGGCAGTCTTCAAGTTTCGCCTAGCATCATTCAAACAGAGACCTCGTGGAATGAGACCTGATATTGCCGGCACAGGTGCGAGCTCTTCGAGGAACAGCGCGCTCGAGACGATTCGAAAGTGTACGAAGTCTGGGTCCGCACAGCGAGACCACGCCTGGCCTCCTTCCTGGGTATCGGATCACCAGAGCAGCAGGTCACGTTCACGCCCCCCCCCGCCCCCCCTCTGTTCTTTGCTTTGACGCTTGTGTTTTGTATTGCATTTTTTTCTTTTGAGCATAAGCCTGGTAGGGCGTTACGCGGGTTCGCAGTTTCCTGCTCATTTTATTTCTGAACAACCGACTCCCTGACTGGCTCAGTATAGCTGAACGTAATAAATAAATAAATAAATAAATAAATAAATAAATAAATAAAATATAAAGAACCTGGCCCATTCCATTCCCATTCCATTCCGGGCAAAAGGCATCTAATTCCATTCCCATTCCATTCCCCTCACCGTTGCCGCCACTCCATTCCCATTCTATTCCGGGGTCGCGAAAATGTGGATTGATTCCGGAATCATTCCAACTCCGGAGTGGCAACTCCGCAACACTGGTATTAGGGAGTTTTCGTAGACCGTGATTCCCCCTCCGCTAAGCCCTCCGCAACGAAGCAGCCGATACTGCGCGGGCGCGCCGACGGCCTTGACTGTGGAGTTCCGGCTAGCGTAGCTGGTTGCGGAGAGCGTTGCGGCACACCGGAAACGATCTACGAAAAGTCCCTATTGTCGTCTTCGTTGCGGAGGGGATAGCGGAGGGGAAAACACAGTCTATGAAAAGGCCATAATGGGGAGTTTTTGTAGATCGCTTTCTTTGTCCCCCAACGCTCTCCGCAACCCGCTTCGATACTCGTAACTCTCCAGCCAAGGCCAACAGAGCGTAGGCGCAGTATTGGCTTCTTCGTTGCGGAGGGCTTAGCCAAGGGGAGATGCGGTCTACGAGAATTCCCCGTAATCAGAGCTTCTCCACTGCACTTGCGTTCGCGAGACACATGCGCGCTGTGTCCGGCATATCCTCCGTTTATCTTTTTTTGACGTACTTAATGCTCGCGCTCTCCTCTGAGAAGACCGTTTTCCTCGTTAGGCACGTTTGGACATTTCTCATCGAGACTGTCTTCTATAGGAATATCTTCTCCGGCTCATAAACAAACCGGAGCTAGTTTCTTTTTATATTTCAGCTGGAGTCAATCTTACGTTTGTTCACCCTAGACGAGGGTGGTATTTTCAGTCAGAATGGTAGGGAGTGCGTCAGGGTCCGTACCAAATGGGATTATGACTAGACCCTGATTGGAAGGGACAGGTGTCGGCGCTGTCTTAGCCCTTTACCGGACGGGGTACCGTTGGGTTTGAACGCGAACTAGGGGCCCAGTAATTCTCGCTCGCAGTTCGCCGTGTTTCTTCTCTCGTGCGCAAACAGTCCCTGCTCTGCGGCCTCGCCGCTGTCCTCACCGTACGTGAGGAAGGACACCTGAGGACGTCCGTTTTTGTTTGGTTGCCTAACTACGTTAGCCGTGTGTATCACTTTGTTACAGTGTTTAATGTTCGTACTGTTTTTGCGTAGCTTTTTTACGCACCAGTAAAGTTTATTATTGTTTGTTGTATTGAATACAACGTGAGCCTCCACGTCGATTAACTCTCCGCCGTCGGCCGCAAGAAAAACTATTAAATACCATCAAGCATCCTTGTCCACTTTCCAAGATCACCCCTGTCCCCGATGGTACCCGAAGGAAAAATCTATCATTGTAACCCTCTTTGGCAGTCAATGTTTTCTAGTGGACCGCTGACTGTGCCTGACTGTACGTCAAGCATGTCTGATTGGCCAACACGTTACTCTGACCGACAGTCAAACTCCTGTCAGACTCCACTTGTCGGCTTTCTGATGGTTTGCTGGTGGCAGTCGGCCGCCGCGAAATGCCATCAAGATGTCTTGATGGCGATTCTGATTGTACATCGATCGGCTCTGACTGTACGTCAAAAAGCTTTGACGTGCAGACAGACGTACGGTCAAAGGACGTAAAGTTCCTTCAGATACCACTACTTCGTCGAATCTATGAATACGAAAAATAATCTATGCACAAGAAAACGATTTCGGGACGCGAGCCCATAAAACCGTTCATGTTAGAGATATGACACGCA